AACACTAAAGAATTATTTGGCTCTAACTCCATTGTAAATAGAATTTTAGAATTTATGGAATTAAGATGGTATTAAAATTGAGTTTATCCAAGGTTAGAATTGTGTAAGTGTCGTCTACATATCGCTTGTAAAATTTTTGATTTATGGGAGAAGTAAGAAGGGTTTGCATTATAATCTGACATATCCGTGACTACCGTGAATAAGGGATATCCTTGGTCAAGTAAAAGGCCAAAAATGGCCCAACAATCACCCCGTCATCATATCAGATTTGATAGACCACAAATCCTCGCTAAGAAATACTGATTCCTTCCAAGGATGATTCGCGAGACTATTGAAATCAAAATACAACCTAATTTCACTAAAAATGACTGGGTGCTACCATCTGCTTTGGATCTCATAATTTATAAAATTAAATCCTAATCCAAGCATACAACTGCAAGACTTTGAGATACTATAAGTTTATACTGCGTAGATTGGATAAGACATTACTAATTTTAATCTGGAGGCGGTTGACTATGACATAGAGGTTTTTTTTTAATTCAAAATAGTCTTACTTGAAATTCATCCGGTCCGAGAACAAAGATGATGTCTACGGTGGAGTGAGTTTGCCCAGAAGAGGCCTGTTAACACGCACCTTGAAGAGCTTAAGTTTATATGCACTCGGAAAAGCAGACACCGGCAGGGCATTCCACTCCTTGGCTGTTCACATTATGAAAAATTACGTAGCGCTTGATGCGAATATTTGGAATATCAACCAAATATGGATGGTAACGTGCAGTACGTATGATACTCTGATAGAAAAATAGAGATAACGGTATGAGCTGGTGAAGCTCATGGGCACACTCTCTGAAGTACAATCTGTAGAAGACTGACAACATGATGGCGGTGAGCTAAGCTATGAAGCTTAGTTTCCACAAGCTTTTCTTTATAAGCCTGTTGGCTCTGCGTGGCACTGAGTCGAGTGTGGCAAGTTATATTTTGCTTAAATATCCCAAAGGTGACTACAATAAAGTATTTTCCAAGCATGTTCTGACTTGAGCTTTATACAAAGTTAAAAGCTGACTAAGCGTGAAGTATCGCTTTACCTTGTTTAAAATACACAGTTTTTTGGCCACGGTTTGCGTTTTCGTCTGAATGTTAGTGCCAAAATTGAGGTTAGCACTCAACGGAATCTCGGGATTCAATTGAGTGCTAACGTCAATTTTGCTAGAGATGATCAGTTACTTCCACAAAATATACCCTTGAAATTAGAAATCAGATCAAATGGACTCCGTTTTGCCGAAAGCAAACAGGCTTGCATTTTGGCGGCATTAAAATCAAACCAGATTGTCGTCATCCCATTGGAGACAAGACTTAAGGTCACATTTATCCGCTCAGCCATAGCCTCTCTGAGTTAACGTATTACTGCTACTCAATATTTTGTACTGATCATAAAACTTTCTGTGACTGCGCTGTCATCTGTATACCCAAAAATACCAGGTAGAAGTACGTCAATGATGTGCAGTATGAAAAAAATTACAAAGAGAACAGTCCCTTGAGGAACTCCGGCATTAATATGCACTAAGTCAGAAGAGCAGCCATCTATAGGATCCGCCATCTAACTTTTTTTTTCAACTAGTGCATATTTCGTGAATGGCAACACTTAGCTCATGTCTAATTTGACAGATAATTAGTTTTGTCCTTCCGCTGAATGAATATGGTTGTGTATACGCTTGAACAACGCTGGGAAATATTGCGACATTACTTTGAAAATCATGATAATGAAAATTGCGTACGGATTTTGGAAGCAAAGTAGCACCGTCAGCTCCGTATGTTCGTTATCTTGTGAAAAAAGTGAAAGAAACTGGCATGCTCATCGATAAACCAACGCGTGAAAAGCCAAAAACAGTGCGTACACCCGAGAATATTGCTGCTGTGGCCGAAAGTGTGCGTGAAACGCCATCAACATCATTTTACCATCGTTCTCAACAATTGGACATTTCGGAGACATCATTGAGACGAATTTTGCGTAAAGACCTTGGTATGACGTCGTACAAAATCCAATTGGTTCAGGAGTTGAAGCCAACTGACCATCCAATGCGTTTTCGCTTCGCTAAGTGGGCCTGCGATCGACTTGCTCATTTCAAACTTGGCGGGTATGTAAACAAGCAGAATTGTCGCATTTGGGGCACAGAAAACCCGCACGCATTCATCGAAAAGCCGGTGCACCCAAAACGAGTCACTGTTTGGTGCGGATTTTGGTCCAGAGGCATAATTGGGCCATTTTTCTTCGAAAATGAGCAAGGTGTAGCCGTTACAGTCAATGGCGATCGTTATCGGGCCATGTTGAACGAATTTTTGTTCACAGAAATTGAAGAGGAGGATATTGGCAACATTTGGCTACAACAGGACGGCGCAACGTGCCACACAGCCGACGCTACACTTGATGTTTTGCGCCCTGTTTTTGAAAATCGCATTATCAGCAGCAGAGCTGATGTCGTTTGGCCACCTCGGAGATGCGATTTGACACCGTTGGACTATTATTTGTGGGGTGCCGTCAAAGATAAGTGTTACGCCGACAAGCCAGAGACATTTGACGCTTTAATGGACAATATTCTTGAAGCCATTGGTGAAATACAGCTGCACACAATCGATAATGTACTCAAAAATTGGACCGATCGTGTAAGCTACTGCATGGCCAGCCGAGGCAGCCATTTGAATGAAATTATTTTCCATCATTAACCGGAAGGATTGTACTTTCAAATAAAAAAAAGAAATTTGAAAAAAATATTTAGTAGTTTTTTTTTTAATAGCATTTAAAAAAAAGTTATTTGGCGGACCCGCTATGACTACACCTTCGAGATATCATAGCTTCACCATTCTTCTCGATGACCTCGTCCCAGAAATGCGTGACATACACAAGAAGAACCCTAGTAGACCGTTCCTGGCGGAAGCCATATTAATGGTCACTAAGGAGGTTATTTATTGAACCCATTAACGCCCATATTTTATTGCTTTAATAGTACCTATATAAAACATTTATAAGAAAAAAATAAAAAATAACTGTGTCACATCGCACTTATAAGGGTGTACACAGGCGAGTACAGTGGGCGGATCAAGAGTGAAATTCTCCGAAACAACTTCTCTCTACGCATAACGTTTTTAAGCAGGTCTCGCAAAGCCACCGGACGTGACTGTGAAATACAGCACAACGCAGCGGATTTTGGATGCGCTGTGGGTTGTTGCCGTAATTTTTTTTATCTAACCGAACCACTGCTGAGCCTGAAGGACGGGATTTATCCTTTGTTTGCTGCAGGTAAGCGCGCGCAATGCTTCTTCAAAAGGACAATTGGTCCATGTATGTCACAGTCATATTTTCTGCTGATTTTCTCACTAAAACATGCAGTCTTCATGCGTTAGAGATAGACATATCCAGTAAATAGTTAAATATTACCCACCACCACTTCTTTCCTCTTATCGAAACTCGGTACAAACTTATGAATTGGTCCATCTGATCTACACCACCCATTCCTTTGTTGTAATTCACGAATAGTCCTGATATATTCACATCTACTTTTTGTCTTCTTGTACTGCACCACCTTTTTACTTTTGCTACAGGTTCAATTTGTCAAAATTGATACCCATAGTGACAATGTTGTTGTCTTTCCAGCGTACAATCGCAATTTAATTTTTTGTATCAAAGCGATAGTCATATTCTGCTCTTGGTCGCTTTTTCATTTCTTTTACGGAAAGAAGTGGGCATTTTTTTTGTTCTAAAGTAAAGTAAAGTTACATCCTATATACGTCCCACTGCTGTGCTCAGGCCTCCCCTCATTTCTGAGAGGGTTTAGGGCAAGGAAGTGTCCGCCGCGCTGCCCAAATGCGCGTTGACGAACTTCACATGTCTTCGAAATATTTTTTTCTTATTCCTCAGACATTCAGGTTTCCTCACGATGTTTTCCTTCACCGCCGAGCACGTGGTAAATCAGCACTTAAAATTGCAATTAACAATTTCATTGGTACTGGCGGGGATCGAACCCGGGTTACTCGCGTTCTGTTATATTTACAGCGAGCGTTAACCACTAAGCTACCACGGCTTTTTTGTTCTATTATCACGAATTGTACCAGTCGCTCTAGTTCCTTGAAGACGCAAATCATGTAGTAATTGGTAATTCGTGAAAAAGTTATCAAAATACACGATAAGTTCTTTACTATCTTGTATGGGCTTTTTTGCGAGTAAAGTTTTTACCACTCTTGCGCCAAGACTATCCGACGAAACGTCTGCGGATTTGCCACAGTAAATATCAAAAGTACAGCAGTAACCGTCTGAACTAGTTGCGACCCGGTTTTTGTATCTGAACCGTACGGGTTTTCCTCTAATAAATTGTTTAGCTGGATGACGACCGAAATATTTTATCATAGACTCGTCAGACAGATAAATTTTCGTGGAAAACTCCCCACTCACAAAAGTTTCGCTGAATCAAATCGCATAACGGTCTCAGTTTGAACATCTCGTCGGTTGTATTATTTGCTAAAGAATTATCAACAATGTGTAAGTATCGCTTTATATCCGTAAATCTATTTCGAGACATGCAACTCGCCACTAACTGAATACCCAGGTCTTCATCTAAACTCCAATACGCACGTTCAGATGGTAGTTGATGGTAGCCAGTAAGAATCAATATACTCAAAAATCTTTTCAAGTTCGAGATGTCCAGCTCAAAATTGTGCTTATTATTTTGACCAGCGTACAACAAACTGTTGTTTATTATGAGATACATTACATCGTCATCAAACATTTTTTCAAACAGCATAACTGGACTATAATCTTTTAAGCTTTCTATTATACTTTGTTGTCGGTTTTGTAATGTATCTGTAGCATCATAAACAGCACTGTATTGGGGTAAAGTATTCCTCCAAACAGGTACTTCGGGCTGCTCGCGTTGGTTTCTAGGCCGCTTATTTCTAGAGTGTTTTGCAGTCCCAGCCGTATTTGATAGGGGCTCATCGTCACTGTCATTTCAGTCCGAAACGTCATAATCAGGATGGCGGTGAATTACCTCCAAAGTCCCTGGAACATCCCTTGGAAGTGTTGAAGAAACTAAGTCGTCTTCATTACCCTCTTCTTCGTCACTTACGGTAGCAGGATCTGGCGGTAATAACACTACATCATACTCTACATCTTGATCTTCACCAGCCAGTATCGATTCTAGTGCTTCCTCAAGCTTCGAGTAGTTATTTTGATTCGAAAAAACGCAGTGGTTCGCCATTTACTGGTTTTTGAGTACAATTGTAAAAAAAGTAAAAATAACATATACATATGCCCATTGTACCTGTCTGTGTACAGAGGTATAAATCATCGTAATATTGCAGATTTAATAAAGATTTTATTTAACACACAATTTGACAAGCAGTAACAAAGTATTATCGAACGTTAAAATCCAAAATTTATCCAAAACCTTTAAAATATTTATTTAAAATCAACAATAATTACTCACCTCCAAATTAAAGTCACAAAACCGTTTCATGAAATAAAATTTTTCACATTAGTTTACGCGTCACTGTCAAAATGATTGATTTTATAGTCTACTAGAGTCATCTAGTTTCAAAATAAACAATTAGTTTGATTGAAACAAATGCCAAAGTACAGCAAATATCGACATAACAAGGTGTACTCAAGCAAGTACGGAGAGCGTTAATGGATTAAAGGTATGTCAGCTATTTACAGTTCAATACCCTTTCTATAAATTTAAAGAGTACGGAGGTGACTGCGATTGGCAGCTAATTTCATGTATCGGCACGCCTACCCTTCTCGGGTACTGTTTGTCACATTGACAAGCTTCCAAGATTTTGGCACCGTTTGAGTTTTGAGAGAGAATGCTTAAGTACCCCTTGCAGAAACACTATAAAGTCCACTGGCCTTGTTTATGTCTAGGTTTTGTAAAGCTCTACGTACGTCTTTCGTGTGAATAGGTAGGGTTGAGGTTGTTTAGAGCCAGCATCTGAACAAGAATTGTGCGCAAACAAGGATGCAAATAAATTTGCTTTCTTTGTCGTGGAGTATTCCATGAGGTTTTTGCATGGGTTGCAATGAGGGACGGCAGTAGTTAGATTCGTCAGCCTTCGATAGGGACCAAAATTGCTTATTACCAGAAGGGAGGAAGCAAGTCTGGCCCCTATACGACCGACATGGTCTTGACATCGTGCCCTACGGAGAACCCGTTTGCAGAACGTGGAAGCAGAATTAAAATCATATATAAGCTAATATATAGGGGAGCAATGGACTTTTAAAAAGCTGTAATGAATGTATAACGACTAAAAAAAAATTTCATCCAGAATATACCTTTATAATACAACTAATTTCTTCAGTCTTAATTACTTAACCGTTTCCGTATTTAACTAATTGGAAAACGAGTATACCAATTACGGAATTGACATGCATGAAATAGGCAGTTTCAAACACGCTGCAATGAAGTGAGATTGCAATAGATTGATAGAAGTAAATTTTCTGATAGAAATAAAAATAGAATACTGTAAAGGTACATTGTTTTAGTGAAAGTATTACATTTTTTTAAATTAAGAAAAACCAAAGGGATAAATAAATACTTAGTCCGGCCATAAGTTCTGTTACAAATAAAAATGCATTTTTTTAATGAAGTAATGTAATATTACTAAGAGTTATATATACATATTTACTAATGTCTCAGCAAAAAATAAAAACAATATTCTATTCAAAATGGCCACCTTTGGCTTTTATACAGGCCTTTAATCTGTTTGACCACGAATCTATGGATTACGTACTGTTTCCATGGAAAATTTCGCCACTGCTTACTTCAGAGGTTTTTTAAAAAACTCAATGTCGCCGTGTCGTTTAGAGCAGGCCATGGCCTCTAAAACTGACCATGATTTGTAGTCTAAAGGGTTGAGGCCTAGGCTCTTATAAAGTCCGGAACGTTGGTTTCAAGCCAGGCTTGGGTAGTTCGTGCCTTGTGTCCAGGTGCAGAGTCCTGATGGAAAGTCCACGGTACATTTTTAAAAAGTTTATTGCTGAGAGGTTTCACAAAACGATCCAGGTTTTCACTCTTTTTTCACAAAAATGTAGCTTTGTGACGCCTTGATAAGACACGCCCCACCAAACCATCACTGACGCAGGATGATAACCACGTTGTACCTTTCCGAGCACTTGAGCAGCTCCTTTAGAACTATGAGCGTACAAGTTATCATTTCGCTTAGTTTAGTGGTCTTCAACGGTAAATTTTTTTTCATCGGTAAAGAGGATATTTCTTTGCCCTTCACCTGCGTATCGCGACAGAAGGCGTTTTGATCGATCCACTCTCTTTAATTGTAAAGATTTATTTAGGGCATGTCCTGTATATCAACGATAAGCACCGAGTTTCAGGTCTTGTTTTATAATACGTGACAGAATCCTAGCGGGAATCTGTATTTATGAAGATTTTATTAAGATTATTTGCTTCCTAATGAGATTGCGATGAATTCTGTGTTTAACAGCATTAATAGCCTTTGTAGTTCTAATAGCACGCGGCCGCCCCGATCTTTTATAACATTCGACAGAGGAAGTGTTGTGGTATCTGTTGATAGTACGATACATGAACATACGGCTTATAACAAGCTTTTGAAGTGCCTGGAATATGACCGACGGCTCCATACCTACTTTGTGCAAGGCGATCACCGCATCCTATTTTATTTAACACCACATTCTTTATTGTAATTTGATAATGAACACAAAAATATATGTGGAATGGCGCGAATTTGAAAGAACTTTTAAAAATAATGAACGCGTTCCAAATTAAAAATAATTAAAAAGTTGAAAAAAGAAAAGTTTTTATGTAACAGTATTTATGGCCTAGTTACATTATTAATAGTGTTTATACTATGAATTCGATACAATAATGTGTTCAAGGCCTTGTTGAGCTACAACCAAAAGTTGTAATAATCAAATGAAAGTTAACAAGTCATAACCTTATGTTGATAACACTCTTAATGAGCCCTGGTATATTATTTTGCGGTTGCTTACTGAACAGACTGAAGTTGCTATTACGAGTACGTCTTGCTAAACACAACTGTACGTAATTAACTGTACTTAATACCAGAGTTAAGGCCCAACATTACGGTTGGGGGTCGAAAGGTTGGATTAGCGTCACAGTATCAACTTTAAATCATTTGTGGTGTCAAATGGAGACCTTTATGAATGTAGTATTTTGGCCGAAGTATGTCATGAAGCGACGTTTTTTCGGAAGGTTAAGTAATAACATGTAGAGAAACACAACACAGACAATACATGTACAATATTGGTGGTGTATATTATTATAATTAATATTAGTTATAATTATGTACTTATTACGGATTAGAAGATGTAGTAGCAATTGTCCAGCCATATAGCTCATAGAACCAACAACCGATGGGAAAGGAAGGTTCTCGAGTGACAACCTAGTGCCAGTAATCAAAGTGTAGGGTGGCTTTCTTCCAGATGGAGTGACAACGAAACGAAGTCTATGGGTGTGGTTGGCTCAGGACCGTGCTTTGTGACATTCCTTGAAGGAGTCCTATATTCAGCAGTGGACTAGTGAAGGGTTGTAATTATGATGTTAAATCGGTAAAATGTGAATGCAACCATAAGACTGATGCAGCGTGGCTCTGCCACTCGTAAATATCAGGTAATTCGTAAGTCATTAGACAAAAAAGCTCCTCATACTTCTATTAAATAGGAATAGAACGGGACCCTTCGTTGTTTAAAAGCTAATGAAAAATAATGAAACGAGTACAATAGAATAAAATGAAACAAGTGCTTCAGTCAGTCAAATTTGCATTTAGATCGAACAAAGCCCGACGAATGATAGAACACTGAGATAGTGTTTGAATGGTGCAATCAGACATTATTTTCTATGGCCTATTTTTGTTTTTATTGATATAAATAATAAAATTTAACTTATTAATACTGATGGTTTACTAGCTAAAAATACATAGCTTAAGAGATTATTTTTATATTTTTGTCATATTGCAGCTCTCCTAACTTTATAATGATGCCAGTAAAATCTCAAAAAGACTTAAAACACTTTTGATGAATAAATAACAAACACCATATCATTGCAGTATCTAAACAAAGGAAATGAGGAGAGAAGAGTAGGGGAAACATTTTTGGCTCTAGCGGCCCCGAGCTGCAGTAACCAATGCTATGCCGCTGTCCGTAATGTGGATTCCGGTTTAGTTTGAAAGTCTAGTGACAGATTGTTTTGTGGTTGTGTATAGATTTTACGAATGGAATACTTTTAAAGTACAGATAAATAAATATTAACGTAATGTGATGCATAGCGTAAAATAACTCCATTATATGACGTAGTTCAAATTTAACCTCGAAAAATTGACAGAATAACCGTCTCAAGTAACGGTAAACTTAAAATTTCTAGACCATTAATGCATAAAAGTTCTCAGTGATGATATAACTAAAATGAAATTAAAAAGAAAGGTTAAATCAAAATACATAAAATAAAAAAAGACGTGTGGCACTCGGGGACTGCCGCGGTAAAGCTATTGCATAGCATTTTGTATCAACTTATGCAATTATAATTATTTATTTATTTTATTTATGCAGTATTTCTTTTTCTTTGATATTAATTCAAGTTACTTAAGTTAATCCAATCAAATTAAACCAGATTTGACGGAACCCGCGTTATAACGAACTCACTATTTATGAAAAATACTGTATCACCGGTCGCAAAAAACTCAGGTTCGCGCAGTACATACGTCAGGGCGGCCGTACGGCAATTATATTAACAAGACGCGCAACTACTCAGTTCCACGCTCCACGGCAAGATTTGTCACTTATTATTTATTGTCCAATTAATTGTCTTTAAGTTCAAATGGCACGCTCTATTAACATAAGTCTAAGACAAAACAAGGAGACTTTCAATATATGAACAACCCGGCTTCGCGTTTGTATTAGTAAAATAAGCTCTTATTAAGTTAGCTTAGAGTTTAAATTAGTGTAAGCTATACGCAATCCTTGTGGCATAATGAATGTAGGTAGTATTTTATTGACTCCCATTGTCTCGGCCGACGCGACGGTTGGACCGTAAACGTAAACAGATGACGCTTTCTAACGATAATGAATATAATATTATAACAGTCATTGGTTCATTATTCTAATGTGTTGTAAGATTAAAAATATATAATGAAATATATTATCTGTTGTATGTTATAACGCCCAACTTTAGGGGGTGACCGACCGCGCGCACAAATGCAGCTAGCCTCC